ACTACCAGCAATAGGTTTTACTCAAATAATAGTGTTAATTTACACTGGAAGTTTGCACTAAAAGAGTAAAAGTACCTTTCTAAAATTAGAACTTTTCCAAAGTAGTGTTAATTTACACTGGACAAAAAAGGGATTTTACCCAGGAAGTGTAGAAGTACACGATTTTAGGTAAATTAACACTTTTTAATACAGTGTAAAGTTACTTTATCCTCAGTGCTATAGTGTTAAATCCTACTTGCTTACTTGGGGAAAAGTACACTACAAATTAACTCTAATTGTAGTGTTATAAAACAACACTATTTAGTGTGGACCTGTGTGAACTAAAAATTAGTAATGCTTATAGTTGATTTTTTTTTACTGTGTATTTACCTATTCTTTTAAAAATATTAATGTCTTATTTTTAAATAAATGCATCAAGTTTGATAAACGTCACTTTTAATTAGGCACGAGCGAAGCTTATAATAAAAATTATAATAAAAAATAATTTATTGCTAATTAATTAATTAAGTGTTGGTTTGTCAAATTTTTCCGTAAAAATCGGAATTTCTCCCTTAAAACGGACTAACAACCGATTAAATCCAACATAGAAGCAGTTTTTTTACAGTGAAAGTAAAATAATTAATGCCGAAATTAAATGAAACTATTTAATAATTTTTACGACTCGTTTATTTAAAACTCGCTCGTGCATAATTTAACTCGTATTTCGTTTATAAAACTTGCCATGTAAACTTACAATTTATTTGTTCCTTGTCGATAACGTCAGCCTGAAAAAAAAACATTAAATTATTTAGGAATATTGAAGAAGCACTTTCATAAAATATTTCAAGAAAAAAACAAAATTTCTTGTAGTTATTTGATTTTTAAATTATACATTTTTTAAATCTACCTATTTGACTTAATATACCCTAAAAAAATATAAAAATTGCACGACCAATAAAAATTTACATTTTGGCGCCCAACTTTAAAAAATCGCTATAAGTACTTTATTTTAAGTACAATTTGAAAATTTTTTTAAGGGTATACCAAACAAAATATTCTCTTTTCACCCAACCAACAAAAAACACAAAAATAATCCTTAATCAAAGACAATCTTCACAAAACCCACTAACCATTTTGACACTTTTGTGTTCGTTTATTTTCTTAAGATGCACAAAAAACTAAAATGTTGAGTTTCCCAGTGGAGTGACCCGTGGAATACTAGAATATTTTCCACCGAACACGACATATATATCGTGAGGTATGCCTCAGGGTTCTCCATGCCGAAAATTATATTTAGACATCCTAGCAATCGGCTATACGACACGCACCTCTGTTTCATGAAGATCGGCTGGTGGCAAAATTAAATTGTTTTTTTTGTAATTTTCCATAATTAAAAAAAAACATTTTACACAATTTCGTAAAAATCGCATATATATAAAATATAATCCAATTTAATATAAAAATTATATAGGTACATAATCATTTTTTTAAAATATTTCAGAGAAAAGTAATATACAAGGTGACTGTACAAAATACAAGTACCACAACTGGTTGAATAATTAACAAATAGGTATTTTTTTATTATAAACAAAGATGTTTTAAAATATTTCTTATTCTGTATATTTCTGTGACAAATACTTCTTGAACTACGAGGTGTGTTCAGAAAATAACGGGAATTGTTAAATTTCGCGGGTTCGGAGGGTCCGGTTGTCATAAAATTTTCTTTATTATGTTGGTATACATGCCCCCGAAGTATGATAAAAACTTTAGCTGTTTTCATTGTTTACTTTGTCTGTGGCAGCCGCTAAGGTTAGACGTGTTTTATGAGCTCGTTCGTTAAAAGAAATGGATCAAAAAATTTGTATCCAATTTTGCTTAAAAAATAAAATAAATTCTGTGAAATGTTAACAAAGGCCTATAGTGAGTCTGCTATAAGTAAAACAATAGTTTACAAGTGGTATAAGAGTTTCCAAGATGGCCGTGAAGACGTTGAAGATGACGAACGCCCCGAACGCACAAGCACATTAACAACCGATAAAAACATGGAAAAAGTGGAAGAAATGGTTATAAACCATCAGAGAAGTCGCTGATGATGTTGGTATATCGATTGGCTCATCCCATGAAAATTTTTTCGAATGTTTTGATTTGATTCTAATTTTTTCTAAAATTGTTAAATTTTGAACAAAATTTTTGGCCAAAAACAATACTGTAATGATGCCCCAGCCTCCATATTCGCCAGACATGCCTCTGTCCGACTTTTTCCTATTCCCAAAAATAAAGAGAACCTTAAAGGGCCATCGTTTTGCAAGCATAGATGACATTAAAAGCGCATCGCTGAAAGAACTAAAGCCTCTCCCAAAGATCGACTTTTAGAAGTGTTTCGAGTATTGGAAGAAGAGCTGGCACATGTGCATAATGTCCAATGGGGACTATTTTGAAGGCGACAATATTAATGTAGACGAATAAATAAATATTTGTTTCAAAAAATGAAAATTCCCGATATTTTCTGAACACACCTCGTACACTAAAATTAATATTGTTTATTGTAAATTAAGGTTATTTCAAGAGTTAAAATTAGTAATATTACTTGGTCAATTTGAAAGTTCGTTTTTTTTTATTTTATTTAAAAAAACGATTTCACAAATCATTTTTGTGGAACCCAACCCAACCAAACTGCATTATTGGATTTCTTGAAATAAAAAAAGTGTGGTGATAATTTTAAATTAGTAATAACCAATTAGTAAGATATGGTTTTGTCTTTCTTGTGGATATTTTTCTGGCGGGTCGCCAGAGAATTTGCAGATTCATTCCTTACTGCAGAACGTTTTTAATTTGGAACTCCCACTTTTGGACGAAAATATACACACAATCTTATCCTGTTCCCGAAATTTATATGCGACATTCTGAGTGAACGCTTTTTACTAATCTCGCAACATTTCCGGCCGTTTAGCATTGTTTTATGGTTGTTCATTTTTTATTTTTAACCCCGCAATATACAAGGATTAAATTTGTAATATTTGGTCTAATTTTGTTTAAGTTATAGCCTTCACTCAATTTAATTTAAATTGAATTATAAATATCGTGTTTTCGAGAAAATTTTTAAGGTTTTCGTAATTGGGTGTTTTCAGCTATTTGGCAGACGAATTTTAATTAATTTCACGCCACTACCGTCTTTTTAATCACGCTAGGCCATGCATCTTATTGAATTCAAGAATTATTAATTGTAAAAAATGTCTACTGCTAATTTTTTGGCACCTAACATATATAAGGAATTTTGGTATTTTATTGATCGTTTACTATGTCGTGAAAAATCTTATTTCTTATTTTTTAGAGCGCTAAATAAATATGAAAGTACTATTTTTTTTAAATGTCCCATTGTTTTTTATTGGAACACACCAAAAACGAAAGCTTATATACTGTCCACCTAAGTCAACCGAGGCGAGATGTAAGAACATCACGTGATTGCCGCAATCGATACATACTATGCATTTTACATAACATTATAGCAAATCAAATTACATACGACGTTTCTAAATCTGAGATGCTTTTTATTAGAAACTGTCAAACTGTTTAGTAAAATTACAATGCGTGTAGGATTTATACATATAGATTGTAAAATTATAATTTATCTTAGTAGATTTCCCAACATGTCTTGGAAGATTACTCAAAATGTATTATAATTTTTTATTGGTATACACTGATTTGTAATTTTACTCATCCTTTGTTTTGCAAAACAATTGTAATTTTACAAAAATTTTAATAGTGTACATGATTAAAATGATCATATCGATATATAGTAAAAATGCAAACAGTTGTATAAAATAAATAATGATTTGTATATTTCCAAACACTTATTCTAATTCAAATAGCAAATTTTGGTTGGTAACTTTATTGATTGTCTTAGTAAAATTAATTCCGAATATGTATAGAAATTTTACAAAATTTCAAATTCAATTCTACAATACAGAATTGTAAAATTAATATAAGTATCTGACAAAAACAGAAACATTGTAAAATTGGAACCTGTTTAGTACTTTGGCTATAACAAAATGTAATATTACAACAAATTCGTATAAAAATTGCAATACAATACAACATTTTGTAATTTTACTATGCAACTGCTTAGTTAAAATGTAATAATTTTACAAACATTTTTAACAGTGTACTTGGGATAGTACAAATGCATTTTCCGAGGTTCTGGTAAAATATTCCAATATTTCCAATGAATGGATATTTGGTTGACTGAAATTTTTGTTTTATTATATGAAAATTTTTACGATTTGGTTAAATACTTTTGACGGAATTTGATAATAGATTATTTCCCTCATTATAATATGAACCAATGAAAAGCCTTGAATTTTCGAATAAATTTCGTTTAAATAAGCGATTAAATCACTAGAACTATTTAACAGCGATTAAATTTTAGCCTCCATATTGGATTTTTGTGTACGATTTTATGGTGTTATTTAAAGTTTTAACAAACATTTTTTAAAAAACAATAAAAAATAAGTTATGTAGTTTACGAAATATCAATTATAATTATATATATATTACTTATTACATACCTTAAATTAATGGAATTTTCTTTAAAAAAATATTTATAAATTTTGACACATACGTCAGATTTTTTGAATTGTCAAATAGTTTCCATTAATTCGAGAAATAGTCTAGACGTATATCACTCAACCTATAAATTTAATCTGTCAAACTATGCTCAGTAAGTTTTTTATTTTATTTTTCTTTTTGGAAAATAGTTTCATGCAAAATAATTAAAAATAATTAAATTATTTTGCATTCAACATTTTCCAAGAAAAACCAAACAAAAAACTACTGAGCCTAGTTTAACCGATTAAATTCATAGTTCTCGTGATATAATATTTGATTATTTTTTTTCCAGGGCAAAAAAAATGCCTAGCTACGCCGTAGATCTTTAATCATGCTTTGCCATGCATCCGGTTGTTGCTACGCAACCACGCTTAAATAATAGGTAAATCTCATTTCATGTTTTTGTTTTATTTTAGGCTCGCAATAAGCCTGCAGATGGCAGCACCATCGTTTCGCAGAAGCCGCGGACTCCCACTCACGGCCCGAAAACCGGCAAACCGGCCCAAAAACCGGCGGTTTCCCAGAAGGGGCAGCAGATCAAGCAGGCGCCCGCCAAGGTCCAGGCGGCCGCCCAGGCCAACAACAAACCTGTCAATAAGAAAAAGAAGGGGAAGCATCACCAGCATGACCTATCGGTCACCATTAATTTGGTAAGAATGTCACTTTTTTGCAGTAATGCAAAAATTTAAAAAAATCATACATTTTGAATATTAGAGCTTCACGGAAGATAGCTTCACGGAGGATAGAATTTCGTATGTTTTGTATATTTGAAATAAGTTATTGTATCTTTTGACCCCTTAATATTTTTTAAAAATACTATTGTATATATTTATAAAATCTACACTTCACGGTGTATAGTTTATTAAAAACCAAATTAATGAACTTAAACTTTTGAATTATAAAATGTTATGCCAAGCATTTTACTTCTAGTCTACTATCTTGCAGCGCCATCTGTATTCTAGTAGACGAAACATTTTGTATCAATGACATACAAAAATGTAGAACCACCATTGACTTTCAAAACAAAAAATGCTTCATTTTTACTTCATTTATGCACTGACTGGCAAAAGTATGAAACAAATTCATTGAAATATGTTCAGCCATTTTTTTTAGAAAAAAGACCGTGGCTCGATTTTTGTCGTTGGGTGTATTTCGAGAGGAAATCCTGGTTTGAGTTTTTACCGGTTTTCCAATAAACAGTGTTAATCTGAATGAAGAAATAAATTGCATACAGTCTCTGTAAATATAAATTGTCCCTATTATAATAGATACAATAGACAACATTTTAATTCAGTAAAAATCGTCAAACAAATAAGTCGTCCAAATTTAAACAGCATTTAGCATTGTTAAAAGCGTTAATTAAGAAAGTCTCCACTCAACGGTAAAATACCATTATATTATGTATTATATATAATATTATGTTGCCATGAATTCGTAGGTATATTTTGTTGTTCAAAATGCAGTTGTCGGCGTTTTTTAGATAACTCAAATATAAAAATGGTTGATTTTAAGGTTATGTTTGTGCAAAAATTATGTTTTACTAATTTCTTAAAAATGTCCAAACTTAAATATAAATTATATTAAGTTATTATTGGTTAATTTTGCACCAACAAATGTGCTTACCGAATTGGATCCTTTGGCAAAACATGAAAATGCAACGATTTAGTTCTTGAATTTTATTTACAATTAAAAACACAATAATTCACCATGATCCCTTAGTTAAAATACACACACCAACATAGGCATTTAAGCGTTGAGTTTCTTAATCAATGATATAAAGAATAAACAATCGAAATCGAGTATACTAAACCAATTTTTTATTTTTTTCCTTGCAACGTAAAACACAAATAACGTGCTCGATTTAGCTGTGCAATTGAACAAAATTTGTACATTAGATGCAAATATTGTTTTTAATGTATTTTGGCCATATATTTAAAGCCAATTTTCCCATACAATTTAGAACACCCCGTATACTACCATTCACTATTTTTTCTGGCCTATATTAGTTGAGCTAATTATAAATGTGATCTTGAATAAAAACTTTATTTATAACCACGTTGACAAATTTACTATTAACGATACAATAATCTTGTTAAAAATAAACGTATTATAGGGATTCTATGAAAACTTTGTGTGTAGAATCACGCAGTAATCTGTGTACACGCAATTGTCGAAAACACAATGAATTAATTAACTTAGTCTTGGCTCAAATTTATATAAAGTTGTTGTGCCAACTCTAAAATAAAATAAATAGCAAAACCTAAATAAACAGAGTCAACTTTTTGGTAGTCGTCTTTTAGAAATCCCGCTCATAACGCGCATTTGCCTCCATAAAATACTGTAAATATGAAAAATTACCCTAGTAGAAATTTAAATGGGGAATCAGTAGGGCGCTAGCTAGTTTTCCCCAAATGAAACGAGGGCCTCGCTAGGAATCCCTACTAGTTTCCGACTAGTCATGTAATGCTTTTCCTGGTGGGGAACTACTGGGGAAAAGCTGGTAGGGAAAACTAGCTTAAAACTGGTTGGGAATATTTGTGAATTTTTTAACCAATAATAAAAGCCAGAAGCTAAAATTTTTTTATTAGATTTATATATTTACATTATCGTTCGATCACTTTTGGAATTATTATTGTCGGTTGTAAATTGATTTGGTATAACTTCTTGTGACAAGCCAAATTTGTTTGTTGCACCATGACTTGAAGTTAAATCACTATCAAGTTTTTCTGCACCATTGGAAGAATCTAACAAATAAATGGATAAATTAATACAACGGGTGAGTTTTAAGTAGAGAGGTTATTTTTAACAGCGTGTAGAAATCAAGTAGACAAACGAATACTTCAAGTATCTCAAAAATAAGAGAGAAACAGCCTTTTAAAGCCAATACCACACGCGCATAGTTTCAACCATCTGGAACCTACTGCGCATAGATGTCCGCCAATTCTCAATTTTGGTTTTTAAAAAATAAAGTTATTTGAAATTTCAACAAATTATGTTTGACCATTGATTTCTAGACGCCTGTTAAATATACCCCTCAACTTGAATCTCACTCAAAAAATAACCCCTTAATTTTTGCCCAAAAGTAAAAGAAGTTTTTATGAAATCTAGATTAAGTTAAAGGTGTTTATTTAATTAAACAACCTGTATCTTCAAAACAAACATAATTCCTTAAATGTTTGTCCAAATGAAGCCTTGTAAATTAAATATACTTAAATAGTAAAATTAAAAAAAAAACTAAGGTTAGGTTTAAACTATAAAATATCTTTACACATAAAGCAATAACTTACCGTACCGTATACGGTAAATATATTTATTTAAACTTGCCTTAATTTCATTATCGTTTACACCAACCCATCGATCTTTTATCATTATTTTAATATGTATGTATACTTTTCTGGGCTAAATTTATATCAGTTTTTACTGCCTTTTAGTCCTTTTTGCAGAACTGTGCTAATGTAAAGATATATCTTTATTTTATAATTTTCATAAAATGTAGTTATTTCTGCAAATAAATCATTATTATTATTATTATTATTATTATTATCATATAACAAACACAGCATTTAAACGTCAAAAAATGTAAAATCAAGAAAAACGTCAAAATCCTTAGTAACCTGTAAACAAGGAGATTTTCCCTACATTTCCTTACAAGTTTATGGTGAGGAAAACTTGAGTCAGCCTAGACTGGAATTTAATGAGGAAAACTAGATGTGAACTAGTCAGTCGGAGGCGAGTCACAACTAGGCAAGTTTTACTGGATAGTTTCTAGTCGGGGCCTATCTAGTATTTCCCTTTCTAGTTTTTCCTTATCTAAACCCAGCCAGCGCCCTACCAATAGTGAGGAAAACTGGACAAATTTCTACTAGGGTAGAGTCAAAAGTTGTTTATTTGTGGCCACAATGACGAATATCAAACGGTATGATCAAGAATACAGCAGATTGAAGAGGCTAACGAGCAATGAAGACGTTTTAAAAACATGTGTGAGTTTTACAAAAAAAAATAATAACATTTTAAACACTTATATAGGAGGTGTGTTCAGAAAATATCGGGAATTTTTGTTTTTTGAAACAAATATTTATTTATTCGTCTACATTAATGTTGTCGCCTTCAAAATAGTCCCCATTGGATATTATGCACATGTGCCAGCTCTTCTTCCAATACTCGAAACACTTCTAAAACTCGATCTTTGGGATAGCTTTTAGTTCTTTCAGCGATGCGCTTTTAATGTCATCTATGCTTGCAAACCGACGGCCCTTTAAGGTTCTCTTTATTTTTGGGAATAGGAAAAAGTCAGACAGAGACATGTCTGGTGAATATGGAGGCATCATTACAGTATTGTTTTTGGCCAAAAATTCTGTTCAAAATTTAACAATTTTGGAACAAATTTTGCTGCCACGCGTTTCATACCCAAAACATTCGAAAAAATTTCATGGGATGAGCCAATCGATATACCAACATCATCAGCGACTTCTCTGATGGTTTATAACCATTTCTTCCACTTTTTCCATGTTTTTATCGATTGTTGATGCGCTTGTGCGTTCGGGGCGGTCGTCATCTTCAACGTCTTCACGGCCATCTTGGAAACTCTTATACCACTTGTAAACTCTTGTTTTACTTATAGCAGACTCACTGTAGGCCTTTGTTAACATTTCACAGAATTTATTTCATTTTTTAAGCAAAATTGGATACAAATTCTTTGATCCATTTCTTTTAACGAACGAAAAATCGCCGAGCTCATAAAACACGTCTAACCTTAGCGGCTGTCACATACAAAGTAAATGATGAAAACAGCTAAAGTTTTTATCATACATACCGAACCCTCCGAAGCCGCGAAATTAAACATTTCCCGTTATTTTCTGAACACACCTCGTACTTACGTACATTTTAAATGCAAATGCGTAAAAAAAGACATTTTCTCTTTTAAATAGTTATATAACTTATAATTCATTTTAAGAGAGTAGGTTGCTGTAAAAGGACGAATAAACAGTTTTTACAAACAAAATCTTGAGATTTTATTATGCAGATGCTTTAACGAACTGTGCTTTTATTCAGTAATTATAATTGAGAGAGACTTCGTTAAAAATAATAAACAGTTCATTTAAGGAAAAGAATCTGGCTTTATTTAATTAAAAAAAAAGAATTACAGAAAGCTTCATATAACCCTTTTAATTACGAAAAAAATCGTACTAAAAAGGCTTTTATTTTTAAGCATAAAACCGTGTTTTGTGTAATCCTTTTCTGTTTTGTTTTAGACCGAATATGGATTGTCAGAGGATCAAGTTGCTGGTAATTTTACCGATATATAAAAAGGGGTTTTATTAATGTTTTATTTTGCAGAATTTAAGGAAGCTTTCATGCTGTTTGATAAGGACGAAGACGGCCAAATCACAATGGCCGAATTGGGTGTTGTTATGAGGTCATTAGGTCAAAGACCTACAGGTAATATAAACCCACACAGCACATATATCCATTGGACGTCCATTGTACATCCAATGTACGTCCAATGTAAGTCCATTTGACGTCCACTGGACATCTTGTGCTGTATGGGAGTTGGTTTTACAGGGTGCTGGAATTGAAAAAATTTTTTTCGTAGAAACCGAGCTTCGCGACATGTTAAACGAAGTGGACCAGGATGGCAACGGCACCATAGAATTCAACGAGTTTCTTCAGATGATGTCTAAGAAGATGAAGGACGCAGACGGCGAGGAGGAGTTGAAAGAGGCTTTCCGCGTTTTCGATAAAAACAACGACGGCTTGATCTCCTCCATAGAACTGCGACACGTCATGACCAGTTTGGGGGAGAGGCTCACCGAAGAAGAAGTCGACGACATGATCAAGGAGGCGGACTTGGACGGCGACGGCCAAGTCAACTACGAAGAGTTCGTGTCGATTTTGACGTCCAAGAACTAGTGGGGTCCAAGAAATCGCTCCGTACAATATGCTTCAATTTCGATATATTCTACGTATATAGCACCGCTTCTACAAAACCTAATTCGACAGGGTCTATCAACGTTGTGTTTAGCATCTGTATTCTATCGAGTTTTAATAATAATTATAGGGTGAGTAGTTATGTACGGGTTCAATAAAGTGTTAGTCTTCCATGAAGAATGAGATTTTATTTTCTTGTCAAAATTTGTTACATAGCTTACATACGTTGTTAGTTGAACAAAATAAACATAAAATGTACCAAAAATATTGTATATCACGAAAGCAAAAAAGACTTAATATTAATAAACTATTTGGTGTTTTGAAGAGCTTTATTCACAAAAAATATACATACACAATAAATACTAAACATTATCATACAAAGATAACTTTCTTTCCTTTAGTTTGTCATTATTATTACCATTGGACAAGGTTAAAGGTACTTCTTCATCGGAACAAATTTGCAAATCGAATGCATTATCACAGATTTCGTTACTGGATTGGCAGTATATCAAATTATTTTTGTCCAGGACTGTTTTCAGCTTCCCCTTGATAATCGGACTAACGTTCAGCAATATCAGCTGGACCTCTTTGTCATTATACAGGTTCAACATCGTCTCCAAAGCCTAGAAAATCAATTATAGAATATCCACAATGCACCAACAACAACATTATCGGTACCTTACAACCCGCATAATCAATATGCAGTACATTTTGGCAATCCAACGCCATGGGGCACTTGTGGTTTTTATGTTGCTTTTTTATGTACTCGGTTAGATAGTCAGCTGTGGGGTAATACAACCCTAACTCGGGTTTCAAGTATAGATACTCTCTACCTTGTTTGTCACTACGTACAAACATGAATATCACAGGTCGAGTCCAGACTTTCAAAAGCCGAATCATGTTGATCAAAGCACCAGAAACAATTGCTATTTCCACGCCTAATATTACACCAACCACAAAGGTGAATATGGTTAATAGGAAGTCGAACTCTGAAATGTTTGTAAGTAGTAATGGGTCTACTAAAACCTTGCGGTACTCACTGTCAGTTCTCCATAGCTTAGGAAAGATTTCATAGTCTATTAAGGAAGATGCGGCTGTAATAAGAACTGCTGCTAACGTAGCTTTGGGTATGTAATAGAAGTAAGGCGTCAATAAAGAGAGGGCTAACATTATAACACTCGCTAAAAAAATGTCAGGGTTAATTAGTTATGATAAATAACATTTTCGTACGTTAATACCTGAATATAAACCTTGTAAAGGCGTTCTGACATCACTACTGCTAGCCACTGCAGATCTGGTAAAGGCACCACAACTGGGCATAGCTTGTACGCAAGACCCCAACAAGTTACAAAAGCCCAGGGTCATCATTTCCTGATTAGCATCCACAACGACGTCAGACGCTACAATTACATTGCAATAAACCTTGAATAAAACCTAGGCAACCTCACCATATGATTTTGCTATGGCCACATTCGCCAACACAGCCACAAAAGGTACAACGATCACCCCCCAACCTAGACTCTCCAACATTCCCTTGAAGTTCACAGGTTTGTCGTCGATAACGGCGGTCAGGTTGGGGAAAGAAAACGATGGCAAACCTTGCACAACCTCGCCAGTTAGTTTGAATGGCGCGCCACCTCGCCACTCGTGTAGGTAGATTCCAAGCAATGATGTCAAGAATACGCAAATGGCGTTTTTCGATATTCCCAGGAACCACAGGCTTTTCCTTAGGTTGCGATTTCGTGTCTGGATCCTGGATATTCTCTGCAATTTTGTATATGGGGTATTTCATCTCAAAAGGAATAAGAGAACCAAACTTATAAGAGTTACCTTAATTGCAAACAAAAATATTATGCAGCCTACGCCTAGGCTAACGTCGGGTAACCTGGTTTCGCTTATATTTTCGAAAATCTCGATGACCATCATGAGAAAGTGATGGCTATGACTTTTGATGCCCAGTAAAGGTTTCAACTGTGCCAAAATAATGATTAAAGCACTAGCACTGGTAAACCCTGAGGTTATAGGCGATGATATGAACTCTACCAAAAAACCTACGGACAAAATATTTTACTTTACAGCTTTAACAGTTATTGTTCAAAATTTACCTAACCTAAAGACTCCCATAAGCAGTTCCACTACACCCGCCATAAAAGTCAGCAACACAACACATTCTATAGGCAACCCGTCTACATACGACTGAGTGATTATAGCCATCAAACTAGTAGGCCCAATAGACACTTCCTTTATGGTCCCGAAAAAAATATAAGTGAAAGATCCTATAAAAGCTGTATAGAGGCCGTATTGCGGTGATAGCCCGGCCAATCCAGCGTAAGCTATGGATTGGGGCATCATCGTTAGCCCTACGGTTAGACCGGCTATGAAGTCGGCTACAATATCGTTTTTCGTGTATTTCGGGAGCCATTCCGTGATGGGTATGCGACTGTTCACGAATTTTTTCAGCTTTGATTCTTTCGGGCGATTCGGGACACTGGCCACTAAAAATTAAAATGTTTTGTTAGATGTTTATAACCCTGATAGCACGTGTACTGTACAGTTTATTCTAAGAATGTTTTTTAAACCTTTCAGTGGGAATATTCTTAGGATCATGCTATATTTCTTCTAGTCATGTTCTAAGAATGTTTTTTAAACCTTCCAGTGAGAATATTCTTGGATCATGCTATATTTCTTCTAAAGAACATGCTTAAAAGAAATATAGCATAATCCAAAGAATATTCTCACTGGCCTATAGGCCTGTTCTTAGAAGGTGCAAAGTTTACTGGTAAAAATTAATCCACTCTAAACATATGCTTAGAATGTTGAGAAAGTAATTGCTATAGAAAGTTCATTTAGGAATATTCCTGGAACATTCTGTTAAGCATATTCAGTTCAGTTAGGTACCTATATAATAGTAAAATATACCATAATCTACGTATAAAGGTACCTACACTTAGTATTAAATACTAAGTAAAAAACACAACCCAAAATATTTTTTTATAGTTATTTGTCAAATTAAAACAATATTCGATAACAAAAATACTTTTACTATAGGTATCTAAATTATTCGGCTTTTACATAAAATCTTCTATCCAACTTAAATACAATGAAAAATGTTTTTTTTTATGAACTATTTGGTTTTTTCTTTTATGAAGAATTATTTTATAAGGAAATATTTTGTTTTTTTATATTTTATTTTATGTTAAAAATAAATATTTATTAATTTGTATACCGATTTTTTATTTCTGAATTAACATTTTTATGTATAATAATCCTAACTATCTTCAACTTCAATCTAATCTGACTTATTCCACAAAATTTTCCAATTTTACTTTTTATGAAATAATGTCATACAACTTATGGTTTAGAGGTCAAATTGTTTATTTAATATTTTTAAATAAATATATATTCATATGTTGCAAAATTTTTTAAGGGGACGACAAATACATTTCACTGTCATATTATGACAGTGAGGCGTATTTGTCGCCTCCTAAAGAATTTTACGAATGTAGAATCCAACATATTAGAACGTGGGTATCTGACATATTTGGAAATATTCTCAAAAGCTTCCTAGAAGCTCCATAAGAAACCTTCTAAGACCATTCCAAAAACGTATTCTTAAGATGTTATCTCTAGTTATAAAACTTGGGTTTTATAGTGTTGCTAAAAAAGGTAGCGATAACCTTTATAAACTCCCCAAATAAGCTCTTTAAGAGTGATATAAATATTTCTGTAACCAAATTTAGGTTTTATAATTTGGATGATATAACATTTACGGCAACCACTATAAAAACAAAAATGTTTATTGGGTTTTTACTTTTGCATGTTATCCTAAAATATGAAAGGGTATACTCACTGTTTTTTCGGAATTTGTCATCAAATATATCGTTATATGTGTACGTTCAATGTAAAAAATGTTATTACTGCGGTAGAGATTTATTTAACTTTTGAGTGGAAGTTAAAGTAAATATACTTTAACAAAGATTATAAATTAATTGTTCTGAGATACTCTAATGTTGTTTCAATGAAGGTTACATTAAGAGATTATAGAGGGTTTAGTAGTGTGTTGACAAGAAATTTTCCTCGACGCACGAAAGGCAAATAATAAACAAAAGTGTTTGTTGATTATTTTTGTAATGAAATTTTTACTTTTAATTTGTGTACAACGTAATAAATTAATCTTATCTAATATATAACTAAGAGGCCTAATAAATACATAGTAACAGTACTTAGGTATACTTACTTTTTTATAGTTCTGTAGAAATGCACTATTATCAAAACAAACACACTAATAGATCGATAAACACAAGGAAAAGGAAAATAATACCATACAAATAAAAATGGTCATTTTTACAACGATTTTATTTACAATATATACTGTATGTATATTTATAAAAAATATGGTGATCTAATAAATTACTAATATTGTGTATCTTGTAAATCGTACAAATCTTGATATTGCGTTATCAAAAAAAACCCTGTAATATTCTATTTGACACCAGGCAGTCTATACTACAATTATTTAGTCAACCAATTACATAATGTTATGCCACCCTATACATAACAAACCAAAATGTTGGCAACAATTAAAAAATATTTACATTCTGCTCAGAAAATAAAACTTAACAAATTCAATAATGGAAAAAAATGATATACACCCACTGAAAAAATGTTGTTACCAGCTGCGGGCCCCCATTAAAGAAAGTACTTCTTCGTAGGTCAGCCAAAAGCTTAGGGACCAAGGCGCCATCCTCATCCAAACGGGTATAAAACCTTTATATAAAGCGGACGCACCCTCCGCTTTTACTGTTTGTTTTAGGCAGTCTATGGAGGATTTATACAGAACACCCCTAAGAAGAAAAATAAAAAGTCATAAAATAGTTGAATTATTTTTAAATTGCAAAAAAATTTATATAATTTATCGGCATTTTTTAATAAATGCATTTTGTTAAAAACAATTTGTAAACATAAACATAATTTACTTTTGACATTATGACATTATTTATAAACTGCTTTAATTATAATTATAATTATTAAAATAAAAATACTTAGAACCTATGTAAATTTAAATAAATAAAATTGCTTATCTAAAATGCATTTTGCGCAAATAAAATGTTTAAATAAAAATGTAAATAATAAGTAATTATTTGATACCATAGTTTATAAATTATGTTTTAAATTTATAATTCGCGCTTCTCAGAGGCAACATTTAGAAAAAATTTATATCAAAAGCAAAACTAAAGCAAAATATGTCTAAAAAAATAACTACCCGGATAGCACAGTTTATTCTAAGAATGTTTTTTAAACCTTCCAGTGAGAATATTCTTAAATTCATGCTATATTTCTTCTAAAGAACATGCTTAAAAGAAATATAGCATAATCCTAAGAATATTCTCACTGGCCTATAGGCAGGTTTTTAGAAGGTGCAAAGTTTAGTGGTAAAAATTAATCCACTCTAAACATATGCTTAGAATGTTGAGAAAGTAATTGCTATAGAAAGTTCATTTAGGAATATTCTTGGAACATTCTGTTAAGCATATTCAGTTCAGTTAGGTACCTATATAATAGTAAAATATACCATAATCTACGTATAAAGGTACCTATACTTAGAATTAAATACTAAGTAAAAAACACAACCCAAAATATTTTTTTATAGTTATTTGTCAAATTAAAACAATATTCGATAACAAAAATACTTTTACTATAGGTATCTAAATTATCCGGCTTTTACATAAAATCTTCTATCCAACTTAAATACAATGAAAAATGTTTTTTTTTATGAAGAACTATTTGGTTTTTTCTTATATGAAGAATTATTTTATAAGGAAATATTTTGTTTTTTTATATTTTATTTTATGTTAAAAATAAATATTTATTAATTTGTATACCGATTTATTATTTCTGAATTAACATTTTTATGTATAATAATCCTAAACTATCTTCAACTTCAATCTAATCTGACTTATCCCACAAAATTTTCCAATTTTACTTTTTATGAAATAATGTCATACAATTTATGGTTTAGAGGTCAAATTGTTTATTTAATATTTTTAAATAAATATATATTAATATGTCGCAAAATTCTTTAAGGGGACGACAAATACATTTCACTGTCATATTATGAACCTAGAAGCTCCATAAGAAACCTTCTAAGAACTTTCCAAAAACGTATTCTTAAAATGTTCTTAGAATGCTTTTTGGAAGGTTTTAAGAAGCTTCTAAGAATCTAATTCCATCATTAAAAAGGTATCTATTGAATGTTTTAAAAGTCCCTAAGAACATTCTTAGCAATAAGGGAAGGTTCTAAGAATATTTCATTATTCCGGGTCATATCTTCTTAAAAGATTCTTAAAATCAAATTCTGCTATCAGGGCAATAGAGCATACCTTAAGGTTATCCGGTTGGTAAATTAAAAGGGATATTTTTTTGTCAATAGTAACCTTAAAAAACAAGTTTAAAAAAACATTATTTTACTAAGATTTTGGTTAATTTACTTATAATGCAGTTGAGCTGTTGGGTACTTTTTGTTTTGGCAAAAATGTCAATTTTTGTTATTCTATTCTGTGCAATCAGAGTAATAATATATAATAATGTGTTTTTTTGTTTTTTTTTTCAATCCATACGTCAAAAAGTGTTACTTAAGGTTAGGTTTAAAATACTAAATTCCAAATTTTCAAAATAAAAATGTTAGATGTTGAAAATTATTACTTAAAAAATAAAAGTGTAATTTTATAAAAATATAATATATATTATAACAACAACATTTTCCCAATTCCTTTTAAACACATACCTTGAAAAAATGCGTAGCATCGACATAAACAAATAAAAATCACGCATAGTGTCGTTTTCTATGGTATTTAGGTCGTTAATATTTAAATTTAAAGAAAAAATACATTTTTCTGATAATTTATTTAAAAAAATGAATAACTTAGATAGCTTCCTTATTAAAATAGTATATAAACTGGGAAATGGATCTAATGCAGTATAAGTTTCCAATAGAAGTCAAAAGAACCACTAAAAAGGTAAGAAAATTTATATTTTGTAATTTTTTCAAAAATGGCGAATGCCCCGGGATTAATTATTAGATTATTCTTTTCTTTATTAAAATGTTGTCATTTGGAATTAATTTAAATCGTTGCTTTGGTCGTTAGGGCCTTTTTACAATCTACAGTAGGTAAGTTTTGTTAGTGGGGTTTTTATATAACTCAATTATGAATACTTTAAAATATGATTAAGTATGTTAAGAACTACGGCAAAATCAAAACAATAGACAAAAAAATAATTTTCACATTTAGTATTATTATTATTAAAAAATAATAACATAGTTATTGGACATTATATTTTTTTATTTCGTTTTTGTAAATATCATATAATTCATATATTTCTTTCTCGGATTCCTCATCCCTTTTCTGAATTCTGAAGGTAACTACTAATTCCTTACAAAGTCTGACTTCTGAAATAGTTGGTTTCAAATATCATTAAGTGTGGTATCTCTGGTTTGTGAAGCGTTTATAATGTTTAGGCCGGAACAGGATGATTTATATATATCTAATATTTTTTCGGGTGGTATGTTAAAAGTATTTTCCGAATTTATTATATATTTTGTTGCCATTAGTTTTTATGTTCTCTATCATGCACTGTATTTAAATCACTGTTATTCTGCAAGATGTCCTGTGACGAAGAAATCACTATATTACTTACTCTCTAAAAATGAATTAGCCAAAAATGTCATAGCGAAAAAGCAGCCACTAATAATTCTCGCCAACAGCAATTTGTATCCAGGACATTTAGCAGTCAATTCCTAGGAAATATTATTCGCTGAATCCGAATATGTCGTCAAAAGTTATAAAAGTAGAACAGTTTTTGAAATATAATCAATTTTAGCTATAATATGGAATTGACTGTGTCTCAAAAACTGCTTAACTTTTATAGTTTTTGACGGTCTTTTCGGATTTAGGGGACAATTTTACATAAGAATTGGCTGGTAAATGTACAAATAGAGTATGATATTGGACAAATGTCCAATAATAGAAATTTACATTTTTTACCAACCAGTAATTGGACACTGTTTGTTTTCAGAATTAAAATTAAAACGCATTAAAGTGACAATGTTTAAACCATTTATACCACACACTGATCTGTACACTTTTTAGAAATATTTTTTATTGTAATTTAAACACAACCCTGCTGTTAACAAAAAAACAAAAATCTTACCACCAAAGTAACGTGCGAACTTTTTTGTCCTATATTGGACCCGAAATAAAGTAGTTGTATATTATTACCGACTGAGATAGTTATAATTGTATACAGCGTCATCTAATGATTTGACTTTAAGGTGACTATTTATAGAACTCTTGTTTTTACAGTATTAATATTAATTGTGCAATAACTATAAAGTGTCCGATAACTGTCTACTTTACCCATAGTAGTTTTCACTGTAATTTCCCCAATTTTATTGCGATTTAGATTTAGAAACAAAACAAAAAAAGCTGAATATTTTTTTTAATTTTCAGATCCAATATGCAATTCTTAACCGCACTTTTCTGCATCGTCTTCGCCATTTTATTGGTCCAAGGGCCGGTTTTGGCGTGCATCAAAAACCGAGACGGTTGCCAACCGGATGGAAGTCAAGGCAACTGTTGCTCAGGATTTTGCTACAAAGAGTCAGGCTGGGTTGCCGGTTACTGCAAATAGGAAACTAGACAACGCCGGACGAATATTTTTACGCAACTTTGATGTTTTAAAAATAATAATAAATTGTTAGACATATTCAAATGTGGTTGTTTTATTAAAGTTTCAAGTACTAAAATTTAAATTTAGTATTTATAAGTAGGCTGTCATTTTGATTGATTTTTTAAATAGTTAAACATTTTAAAAATTACTAAAAAATACACGTACGTTTATGATATACAGGTTTAAACAAAAAGATGTTTTTTACCATAAGTTTAAGACACTCTGTAGAGTGGCTAAACCGTATATTGTTCTAAATTAAGTTTTAATTATCAAGTCACATCTATTTTTAACAGTTTTGTTTTTGGTTCACCTCGATATATTTATTTTTGTGGAAAATATGGATTTTTTAAAAAAACATTGCAATTTCCAATATTTTTCTGTATGAAGAACTAAGGTTGCTATGGTCCATCCATAGTCTATGGAGAATGACAGTGACAGTTTTGTTGAATCATCCCATACTTGGACATGTCATACACGGCTTTCAAAAGCTATCAAATTGTTTTTTGCAAATTAATGTATAAATTTTGAGGTGTCTTCTTACTTTAAAAAATGGATATGTCTCCGACTGATGTTGCCAGAGCCATTAATTTAATCCAGGATGGACGGTCACAGTATTACGTGGCAAGTGTTTTAAACGTCACAAGAAGTAAAGTACAAAGGGCTACATCAGTCGAAGACATTTCAAAATTAACACATTAATTTGCAAAAAACAATTTGATAGCTTTTGAAAGCCGTGTATGACATGTCCAAGTATGGGATGATTTAACAAAACTGTCACTGTCATTCTCCATAGCCTATGGATGGACCATCGCAACCTTAGTTCTTCATACAGAAAAATATTGAAAATTGCAATGTTTTTTTAAAAAATCCATATTTCCACAAAAATAAATATATCGAGGTGAACCAAAAACAAAAATGTTAAAAATAGATGTGACTTGATAATTAAAACTTAATTTAGAACAATATACGGTTTAGCCACTCTACAGAGTGTCTTAAACTTATGGTAAAAAACATCTTTTTTGTTTAAACCCGTATATTACACGGAAAAAAATAATCGGTAGAGGCTACCGATTGGCAATCGGTAGCAGCTACCGATTGCCAATCGGTAGACTCTACCGAAAAAATCGGTAGACTCTACCGATAAAATCGATAGTCTCGGTCCCCTCAACCAATTTTTATCGGTAGCAGCTACCGATTATTTTCGGTAGAGTCTACCGATTTTTTCGGTGCAGGCTACCGAAAAAATCGATTACCAATTTTTGAAAATTTTTGTATTTTTTTAGCGAGAAGTTAAATACTCGCTTTTTATTAAATAGAAAATAGTATTTTTTTTTTGAGGTATAAATAAATTTGAAATACAAAAATATTAAAAATGAGGAGTAATGTTTATTAAATTTTTTACAATTCTAAATAAATATTAAATTAAATGTCTGGTGGCTACAAAGTAGAGATTTTTTTTGTATTAATAAACAAGGTTCTAAATTTGGTAATTTGCTCTTATTCTTTGTCATACTTAATTTATAATCAATTTCAACGCAATAAGCATGATAGTGTTGATCAAAATACAATGTTTTAATCGAGAACATGAGAAAATATATACAATTATTTACACTGAATATTTCATTAATTTTTCTGAAGACTGGATCGTTATTATCATCAATCTCAACTAAAACAACCAAACCTTTCTGATATTTAATATTTTTTTTTAATTTTCTAACAGCGCATCGATGCGGATTTTCTCGGTTACGGCTACCGAAAAAATCGGTAGACTCTACCGAAAAAATCGGTAGACTCTACCGAAAAATAATCGGTAGCTACTACCGATAAAAATCGGTTGAGGGAACCGATTAGAGACTACCGATTTTTTCGGTAGAGTCTACCGATTTTTTCGGTAGAGTCTACCGATTGGCAATCGGTAGCTGCTACCGATTGCCAATCGGTAGCCTCTACCGATTATTTTTTTCCGTGTATAAACGTACGTGTATTTTTTAGTAATTTTTAAAATGTAAGCGATTCTCCATTAATGTATCTATAACCCAAGCAGCATTTTTGGTTCCAAAAACCATTGCCAAAGTGGTGATAACTTTAAATTAGTTAAGTATACTAAACAGCTACTTTAATTTTTACTTAAAAGTAATTCTAACTTTTAAATAGCAATATTTTGTAACAGAAACTTAATTTTTCCTTAAATTGTTACTATAAAGTAATAAACATTTAAGTAAAACTTGGTTGCCCCCAAGAAGACTTTGCAACTTTAAAAAAGATGTTATAAGTAAAAAAAACTTTCAAGTAAATTTAATTTGTAGCAGTTACTTTCGGTTGCTACCTAAAGATTACATTATAATTATTTTTACTTTGTAGTCCCTTTGCAAGTTAAAATCTCGAAACTGGAACATGAGTTAAAAACTACAAAGTTAATAACTTAAAAGTTATTATTTTAGTATTTGGAACGTTTATGGTACTAACCAAAACAACCGTAAAGTGGAAAAAAACTTTAAAGTAGCGAAAACTACTTCAAAGGAAAATGCTTCTTATCGGCCATTTTTTACTGTACAGTACCACGTGGTAATGTAAATAATAAATTATTTTAATTGTTTGTAAATGGTTGTTTACTTTTTAATAAATAGAAATATTGTTGGTAATAGACGGTATTAATAATTAAATAAAAAAAATAATATTAAATATTAAGATTTTTTTATTTATAAACATTACTAAATAAATAATTTGTTTATACTTAAATATTGATGAAGCGCATTTATTTTACAAAAACTAAATTCATAAGTTCAACAGTAAAATTTAAAGGGTTTATAAATATACCTGTCTAATTAAACATTATATTGTTATTCTAGTTATAAACTACCAGTACATATTTAATAAACGACGACATTGAAAAGCCAAGTCCGTAGTGGTTCCATTTAAAAAAGGAGGGATAGTATGTATAATCTAATATAAGTTTGACAAAGAAAGAAAGAAGTAAAAACAAATAATAAAAGTAATTATAACGCTCTAGCAACGATATTGGAACGTTCTAGTAACGTAGCAGCTACGTCCCAAATAGTAGCAGGGTTGGTAGCTAGTGACATATTTGCTACCTTTTTGGAACTCAATAATTGTTCCCCACTTTAGTCGTAACGTAGTAATGAAAGAGTAATATAAAGAGACCGGCGACTGTCGCAAAACACTTTGAAGTTTCTTCAATAGTCCCATATACGTAACAAATACTTAAATTGTTGCTTGGGAATATTCTTTAATATTTGTTTAAATCCGAAATCAAATAAAAAAGTTATTTGCGATTGAAATTCATCGAAAATTTGTGTGGATCGATTATTTTGCATGTTAGTGTATATATGTAATTATGCAATAAACTTGGCTTATTACCACCCCGGCAAAATGTTAATAAATACTTTTCTTTGTGTTTCATTTTATAATAATCAAATACAACCTCTCTGAATAATTCAGTATATTTATTTTAATCGCTATAGTTAGGTTTATAAATTATAAAGTCTTATTAACTCTTCTAGAAGACTCCCAAATCTTGCTATTAGTCTGACTAAGACTTTTTCCCCTGTATTCTACATACCTCCCCTTGTCGTCGAAAGGCTGATTCATAACCCTGGTTTTAATGACGTCAGCTGGCGTGCCCATTGAGGCAGCTACAAACCCAGCGCAGCTACTGCTCAATATGTGAAGCAAATGCTCGTCGGGTAAACCAGTCTGTTTCATTATGAACCTCTTGGCCATATCGTAGGTGGTCAGGTCGCCTAAATTGACCAGCGCCGCCCTCTGCACGTTGGGCACGGAACCTTTCCACAGCCCCCTGATGCCGCCAGTTTTCCATATTTTCTGGAAAGCGTCGTGTAACCCGGTCACTCTAGGCGGGAGCCCCATCAGTTTACGTCTACCCTCCATTTGCAGTTGCACCTTCAGCAAATCCGCAGGGGAGGCTATGTATTGCGCGAAAGCGCCTGCTGATACGCCACCTAGCGGGAAAATGTCCAAAGTCAATTGCTGAACCACGGAAATAGTCCCGCCCATCGTACAAAAAAACAAGGTATATTCTTAGTAGGTTACCACCACTCGATTAGATTGGAGAAACGCCCTGTGGGTTGTACCATATAGCCCCATGTTTTCTTAACATTTTGTTTTTTGATTCACGTCGATATCTCTTTTTTTAAGTGAGATATACGCTTAAAGACCAAATAACTACAGTTAAATGTAAAATGAAAGAACTTAACATAGGTAGGTCATGGAAAATAAATAATGGTGTGCAAACGTCAGAAACTGTCATTTTTATTTAAGTTAAGTTTAAGAAAATCAACTTTAAAATTGTGGCAAATTTTTGGTGGTGCGTTAAATTTGACGCGAAGTGTATATTAGAAAACCCATTACTTAAAACATTTAACCTAGAAACTAAAATTAAATTTTTCTTATACACTCACAGGCAAAATAATCGATCCACACAAATTTTCGATGAATTTCAATCGCAAATAACTTTTTTATTTGATTTCGGATTTAAACGGATATTAAAGAATATTGTAGATAAATTAATGGACAATCGCTCACGTTTTAAAAAATTACTAAAAAATAGACGTACGTTAATAATATACAGGTTTAAACAAAAAGATGTTTTTTACAATAAGTCGGAGACATATCCACTTTTTAAAGTAAGAAGACACCTCAAAATTTAAACATTAATTTGCAAAAAACAATTTGATAGCTTTTGAAAGCCGTGTATGACATGTCCAAGTATGATATGATTCAACAAAACTGTCACTGTCATTCTCCATAGCATATGGATGGACAATAGCAACCTTAGTTCTTCATACAGAAAAATATTGGAAATTGCAATGTTTTTTTTTAAAATCCATATTTTCCACAAAAATAAATATATCGAGGTGAACCAAAAACAAAACTGTTAAGAATAGATGTGACTTGATAAATAAAACTTAATTTAGAACAATATACGGTTTTGCCACTCTACAGAGTGTCTTAAACTTATGGTAAAAAACGTATTTTTGTTTAAACCTGTATATTATAAACGTACGTCTATTTTTTAGTAATTTTTTAAAATGTGAGCGATTCTCCATTAATGTATCTACAATATTCTTTAATATTCGTTTAAATCCGACATCAAATAAAAAAGTTATTTGCGATTGAAATTCATCGAAAATTTGTGTGGATCGATTATTTTGCCTGTGAGTGTATTTTATTTAATTGAAAAAACATATAAAATATTTTTTTTATAAAAATATTTTCTTGTAATGTTCTGAAGAGAACATACCTTGTTTTCTTGTACCACGGTCTCGCCAACTTACAAACGGCAGATTGCCACAGGGGGAAATTGTTATCTCCTGGCTTTTGCTTGAACATTTTTTCTTTAAGCGCCTTGTAGGTAATAATTCTAGTCCCTGAGTAAACCATATGGCGTGCGCAAGCGGCGTGTAACCCCTGCCATAGGCGAAGGATCCCTTCCTCTCTGGTAATGCCCAGGGCGGTTTGCAACATCCCCCTGTAAGCCAACTAAAAAAACCCTTAATTTTTTTACTCAATATTATATTTTTGAAATATACCTTTTTGCCATTCTTAGCTAGTTCGCCCTGTATTTGAAGCCTAGTCTTTATCAAGTCCAAGGGGTAGGTCACTAGAATAGAAAACGTGTTACCCCCTGTAGGTTATGCAGCCCGGTGTACGTTAAAGTACGTGGGTTGCGTTGAAATGCAAATATGTGAAAAAATGATGGGTGATTGTGATTTTTTGTGGGTTATATTTACAAAATTCTGCATTCCAAGCTGCTACAACCGACACCAAGTAAATGCACCATAGCGAGTCCACGTATTTGTATTGGTATTCTTTTTGAGGGGGGACTGGTGGCATGGTTACCACCCCTAGAAAGAAATATTTACAAAAACATTTTTTCTATTTTATTTATTAAAAATTAAATCTTACCCTCAACAGGCATTATAAATATTTACAGTAAACTTTCACAACCAAACAACAAAAGAAGAATGGTAACAAAAATTAAGCTAATAGTTAACTAATGACAAACAAATGGATTACACATATTTTTATCGGAATTATTCCTATTATAGGCAATTGTACTTTATTGATATATGGCATGCTTAGCGCTAAAAATACTTTTATTTAACTATAACACTTAATTGATACAGGTATGGAATGAGTAAATTTTTATAGTTTTTAATCTGAGTTAGACCTCAAAATTTCTTCATCACACCTGTTACAGGTCTTATTATTAGTTATTATAATAGTTACAATAAATAAAAAAAATGGTGGAATGTTAAAAATTAATATTTTGGCACAATTAGATCACATTGTTACACTGCCTTACAATGCTATAAAAATCCGGCCTTCATTAAAATTATATCATGCAAGGTCAAGAAATGATACTTTGATTTATAAACAAACAGTAGTGAAATGAAAAATTAACTGAACGATTAATTTAAACAAATAACTCACCGCTAACGAGCACAAGCTGGCAACTTGCCGCGATCTGAACCACTTATGAACTAAATCAAATAAGTTTTTCATTATCTAATAACTTATTTATCAGTTTTCTTTTTGGTGAACGTGAACACGCCAAATTAATCACAGGGTGCCGTGAAAGGGGCGGTGCTCTATAATACCATGACAACAGAACGGTTGCCATAGCAACAGAGCCCCTACGGCCCCCTAAATTTTCAAAAACGTCAAATTTGATAAAAAAATCGCATGGTTTTAAAAAATTAATGAATCACATATAATTCGAAGAATTACAAAATTTCGAACTTTGTACCTTTAAAAGCCCAATTTGCACTAGGTATTTTGCATTCTACTTTGTTATGGCAACATTGCAATAATAACCTGCAAACAGGCTTAGCTCAATTTATGAGAGAAATAAAGCAAACCAGAACAACATTTTTATTATTTTACCCGTTTTTCGACTCACCATTTATTCACGGGTGTTAATTGTCAAGGAAAAAAGGCGATTTACATAAACATAACACTCTCGAAGCATGGAACTATCACCTAAGGCGATGTCGCCTGGTCCGGTAGCTACCGAGATTTACCGAGATTTTGGTTGTGACGTCATGGCAGTTGAAAATGGGCAACCTCGATTGCGTCTTTGGATTACGTTGTGTATGTGGTAGTATACCGATGTAGGTGACATAGCCTAAGTGAATGACGTAAATGGCAACCCTGGTAGAATATCACCAAAAAGTAGATCCGCTTTATAAATCGATTTTTTGTGTTAAAATTAATAATTTATGGTAACATTGACTCGTGTCGGTAATAATAAAGGTTTAATAAAGGTATTTTTGGACGAATCAGTGGTAATTGTGGGTTTAAGTTGTTTGTGATGGAGTAATTTGGTATTGCTACGCGAGTGTTGAATTTCATTTCGGAAGATACAGTCTGCTGTGGGAGTGTACATAGAACATTTTAGAAAAATACAACAAAAACACCAAATTAAGACATCGGTGGTGCTGTTTTATTGCGCGATTAGTGACTATGAAGTGTTTTTTCCACGGTAGAATGTTAATTGATGGTTAATTGTGAATTTTAGCTGCCCATAGCTGACTTTATTTCCTTTGTGTGTTATTTTTTTGTGAGTGATAAGGGACTGGTGAAATTGTTTAAATAATAATGGAGGCGATAGCCAAGCACGAATTCAATGCGACGGCCGACGACGAGTTGAGCTTTAGAAAATCGCAAGTCCTAAAAGTAAATTTCGCAATAACTGGGGAATTCCCATTTTGTAATTTTGCGTATTTTTCTAGATTTTAAACATGGAAGACGACATGAACTGGTATAGGGCCGAGCTGGACGGCAAAGAGGGCCTCATACCCAGCAATTACATTGAAATGAAATCACACAGGTACTCAAGTCTATTTACATCATTCCCCTGCGATATTTGACAGTTTTTTCGGTTTTTAGTTGGTATTACGGCAGAATAACGAGGGCCGATGCCGAAAAATTACTAGCGAATAAACATGAAGGAGCCTTTTTAATCAGAATTAGCGAATCTAGCCCCGGGGACTTCTCCTTATCAGTAAAGTAAGCTCAAATCAACCCCTTTTAATGCAAATCATAACCGTTGAAATTTTTAGGTGTTCAGATGGTGTGCAACATTTCAAAGTGCTCAGGGACGCGCAGGGGCAGTTTTTCCTCTGGGTTGTTAAATTTAGCTCTCTAAACGAACTGGTAGAATATCACAGGACCGCCTCCGTGTCGCGTTCCCAAGACGTCAAACTCAAGGACATGGTGGCTGAAGACGTAAGTAACCTTGAAATTTGACAGATGTCAAAACAACAACAAACTGCTTGATTATAAAACAACAAACGTCAATTTAGACTAATGATGTTATTCGAGATGTTTCTGTGGTAATTAATAATGCATGGGCAATTATACAAACGTTAATTGCGATTTGTTTTGTGGAATTTTTTGTTGAGCAACAATAATTGGTTGACTTTTAATTAATTCTGACTGATTAGCTTTTAAATTGTGTTTGAATTTTTCAAGAACGTATTTAAAATTTCTAGGAGATTTTATGACTAATTTAATCCTTGATAACTTTTTAATTATAAATCGAGATTTCGATTTTGATACCTATGTACCTATCTAAAATGAGTCATTTTAAAGTGTGTTGACCTGGATATTGTTTTTATATGCAAATTAAATTTTGACGTATAAATATCACGTTGTCAAACATGGCGTTGGCCTTGCTTATGGTTGCCATGGCAACCAACTGACATTCCATTGTTTTTCGACGTTTTTGTCCTTGAAAAACGCAAATTCGTCATAACTTTGACAATTTTAATGCTTTTTTCACAAAAACATGATGGATAAAAAAAAATTCTTTAATTTTTTGCTTTTGCCGTTTTAGTAATTTTCTAGCCTAATTATATTCTAATATTGTAGGTATATTTAATTTTATAAAATTAAATATGCAATATATTGCCGTGGCAACCAAGTGACATTCTATTGTTTTTGACGTTAGTGACCTTGAAAAAGTCATTTTGACGTTTATGGCCTTAAATAACGCCAATCAGACTTTCAGAAAAAAAGATTGATACAAAATTGATTTCTTTGTCGTTTTTATAAATTTAGGTATGTTGTTTTTCACGTTTTAGTAATTTTTTAGTATGTTAGCCAAATATTGTTTATTTAAGTAAAGTTAATTTTATAAAATTGACGCTGATATTTGATGGTAACCAAGTGACATTCTATTGTTTTTTGACGTTTGTGACCTTGAAAGTTATTTTGACGCTTATTCTGGTGCGATTTTACTCGTTTGTGACGTTGTTCAAGTCAATTTGACGAAAATCAGAGTAGGTATGTTTTTTTCTTCTGAAAATGACTTTTTGGACGTCTGTCAATTTTATTGTGATTTTTATTGTTTCTGACCTTGGCCAACGTCATTTTGACATAACTAATGGAAAAAAGTGTACGACGATACAGTTTGATGGCAAAATTAATTTAAAAAATGTAAAATTTAACAATCCATGTTTTTGACATTTCCGATTTTTAAACGTCAATTTTATTATGATTTAGATTGAAATAATATTATATTGGTTGCCATGGCAACCAAGTGACATTCTATTGTTTTTGACGGCTTAATTCTGGTACGATTTTGATCGTTTTTGATCTTGAATAACGTCAATTGGACAGTTTTTCCTAAAAATGTATAGGTATAAATAATCTTTTTTAATGACATTTGCGACATCAAATCAATTTCAAAAGTTTACATTTTTGTCAATTTTATTATAATTTATGTTGTTTTTTACATTTTAGTAATTTTTAAGTCTGTTAACCGAATATTGTTTATTTAAGTAAAACTAATTTTATAAAATTAACGCTTGTTTTAAGTTGTGACCTTGAAAGTCATTTTGACGTAACATTGTTTATTCTGGTGCGATTTTACTCGATTATGATCTTGAACAACGTCAATTTGACTAAAATCAGACAGTTCGTATGTTTTTTTACTAAAAAATGTGTAAAATAATTATTTCTAATGACTTTTTGGATATCTGTCAATTTTATTGTGATTTTTTTGTTTCTGATCTTGGCAAACGTCATTTTGACATAACTAATGGAAAAAAGTGTTGGACGATTCTTTTTTAGTTTTAGTTTGGTTTAATTGTTTTGATGGCAAAATTAATTTAAAAAAATATCAAATTTAATAAACTCTGTTTTGACATTATCAATTTTTAAACGTCAATTTTAAGTATTGTTTACGAAGTACAGTTCTTTTTTTTAAATCTGGACTCGTGTTTTTTTGTTAGGTTAGTGGCTTAGTTTGTTTTAATCAATGCGACCAACTTGACAACTGTATTTACCAACCAAAACCCTAAATTTGCAACGTCCAGATTAATAAAGGAACTTTATAATTTTATGTAAAAAAGTAAAAAATGTCAAACGTGACGGAGGCCGTGATTTTGGTTGCCATGTCAACCAATTGACATTCCATTTTTGTTTTGACGTGTGTGACCTAAAACGTCATTTTGACGGGTGTGGCCTTGAACGTCATTTTGACGTAATTTGGTTGTCTGGTGCGATTTTGATCGAATAAGAGACAAAATATTGATGATTGCAGTTTTTGGTGCAAGCCCTGTACGACTTCACGCCCCAGGAGGTGGGCGAGTTGGAGTTCAAGCGCGGCGACGTCATAACCGTGACGGACCGCACCGACCAGCACTGGTGGCACGGCGAGATCGGCCATCGCAAAGGACTGTTCCCGGCCACCTACGTCACACCGTATCACTCGTAAACTGCATGGAAAAGTGAGGTTATATCCGATGATTTCGTTACCGACGTTTTATCTCTTCGATTTGTGGCTTTACATATTGAAACGACGTAACCTCAAAAAGTTCATGTCATTCGTCATTTTAACCACTAAAATTGATTTCTTCAATTCATTCGCCCAGTTTGTATTTTTAGTAATATGTGATATTGACGAGGTTATGTTTTGTTTACGGAATTATTTTAAAAACAGTTACGGTAACCTATTTATTTTTGGGGCGCTTGAAAGCGATGGCAATTTTTTAATAAGTGTGCAATTGAATCGCTTTCGAGCCACGATTATCATTTCTCTCGATATTTACTCAAGTGTGATTAAAAATGTAAAATAATGCTGAATTTATTTTGTATTTTAGCGTATAAGATACCGATTGTTTAAATATTTTTGTATGATGTTGGTGAAAAAATGTATACTGAAAAAATATGTTTTCCGCGTTTTTATAGTTTTTATTCATAGGTAGAGAAATGGTATACACACAGTAAAATGCTTATTTAGCAACGAATGCGCAACAATCCAGTAAAAATGCTAATAAAACACCTTCTGTCAAAAAAAAAGATCAGTACTTTTTTGACAAAACGTAAAACATATTTTGATGATTTATTTATTCGCATTTTTACTGCTCATTTTACTTTATCCTACATTAAGATGCCATTATTATAAAAAAATCAATTGCTGAATTGAAGAATCATTTTATTATCTTTGTATATATTCTATATTCTAAGATTTTGCCAAAAGGATTTATCTCGACCTTATTACTACTTTTGCATTTTATTATTATTACTCCCCCCTTCTCTTTTTATTGTTTTTATGGCATTATCTTGCTTTTTTAGGTTATATGTAAATACTAACTTAGATTAATAATGATGAAAAACAAAATATCAATAAGTGCAACATATTTAGTTAAATATATGTTATATAAACAAACTGTAGTTTTATTCGCTATACCTCCGCCTAATAGATGGCGCTTATTCGCTATATTTTCACATACACTGAAAAAAATAATCTCCAAGAAATTATAATCACTATGGTTCAAAGTATATGAATAGGGCCAACAGTTATGTTTCTTAATCTAAATCAAAAACTATCTTTACATAGTGGAAATCAAGAACCAAGAATATTTCTTTAGAAGATAATGTTAAAATTCAAAATTCCTGCGAAATATTGAAGTTTAAACGTCAAGTCCTCGTTTTAACTTAAGTGTTGGTAAAATAAAATTACCTACAAAGCCCGCCCTTTGCACGACAGTCATCTTGAAAACAATGCAAGCGGCGAAGTTGTGGTGAATGCACGTATAGTTGCAGTCAAAATTTCAGTACTGTGGTTATTTTCTTACGTATATATATTTCATTGTAATTTATATAAGGCTATGTGATTTGTTGATAAGTAGCACACTAATAAAAAATATCAGCAAAATACTTAATTCCGAATTATAATCTCAAATTTGTATCCCATTCATCAGTACCGTGTCGTCAGTTCCATGTTCGATGTTTCGGTTATCTTTTTTTCGCAAACTTCAATTTAAATTCTGCTTGCGCAGAACTTGTTTATTTAATGTCATTATAAACTCATAAATTTGGTGTGTGTCCCATATCTAATAATTGAGATATTATTTTAAGATATTTAAGACAATTTTTCGGGTTTTTTTTTTCGACACTTTAAAATTCTATTCGGGACACCCTGTATATAGGGAATTTTTTGAAAAAAAAATTTTAGTTAAAATTCTAACACATTTTAGTGGGGTAGAAAAATATAAAAAAAATTAACCAAATTAGATAATTTAAAAGTGGTCAGTAGACTGGGCCAAAAAAATCAACTATTTTTTTTTTAAAGTATATCGAAAATATGGTTTGGGGCGACAAAAAAAAATTATTGTGAAAGTTTGAGTCCATAATATTAATATTAAGAGGTCTATCATCGCAATTTTTTTTCCCTCATCAAGTTTTTGTCTCAGAACTCGGAAACCATTAAAAATATTTTTTTAGGAAAATTAAATGCTCTACAAAAAAGGTTAAATGAAATTTTTCGTCAGATGAACCGTTTCGTTAAAATCATGCACTAAACATTGGTATAGTTTTACATTTTGATCTTTTAACTTTGGAATTTTAAAATTCATGTAAAAATCAGTACCCATAAAAAAACCGATAAATATTCTTAAGTGAAATCAAATGCTTTACAAAAAAAGACTCATTTTTGGCTAAATTCATTCAATCAAAAGTTATTATGAAGTCAAAACAAATTTAACCTTGACTATTTCCCGTCTTAATTTCCACCAATCACAAACGCGCAATTTTGAATTACAAATGGGTTCTAGGTGAAAAAACTGTGACAGCACCTGTTAGCAGTTTTTTCGAGTTTACCCGCGGCAAAACTTGACAGCTGTTGTCACCAAAAATTGCAATTTATATTTTAATTGTTAACTGTTACAAATAGTCCAGTCAAATACCATTTGGGATCAAATTTTTCCTGTGAAAAAAAATCGAAAAAACACAATGCTAAGTAATATTTTTTAATAAAATGCATTCGTGCCACCAGCACTCATGCTTCTTGTTAAAATATTACTTAGCAACGTGTTTTTTCGGAAAAATTAGATGCCCTTATGATATTACTTACGAATATCTTTTGATGGAGTGAATTTAGCCAAAAATGACAAAAACTTGATGAGGGAAAAAAAATCTAAAATTGCGATGATAGACCTCTTAATATTAATATTATGGACTCAAACTTTCACAATAATTTTTTTTGTCGCCCCAAACCATATTTTCGATATACTTTCAAAAAAAAAAAAATAGTTGATTTTTTTGCCTAGTCTAGTCAGTATTTCTTTTATTCTAATTTTTCACGAACCGTTAAAATAACAACAAAACATAGGATGTAAGAATTTTTATTGAACAAAATACATTGGTTAGGGTTTATTTACCGAGGAATAAAATAAAAGACGTTGATGATTTTCAAACACTTTATTGTACAACAAATGCACAAATCAATTGTAATAAAAACGCGATTTTGGACTTAAGTTCGGACTTAACTGGTCCAGGTGCTCTTGCCCCAGTTGGTGCCCTGGCTGGCGGCCAAGTCCTCGGTCTCAGCGACCCAGTCGAGCTTGGTGTCGGCCGCGAACGGCGCCACCACCGGCTTTTCCGCGGTGTAATCGGTGGGTTCCGCATCGAAATCGATCTCGACCGGACGCACCGGAACTTCAGCCTTCACGGCGACGGCCTCTTTGGCCGCTTGCTCCTCCTTCTCGGCCTCTTCCGGCTCGCGGTAGAAGAAAAGATCCACCACCACGTCCCACTTGGTTTCCCTTGGGATAGCCCCGCGAAGACGCATAACCTAAAAAGTTTACCGTGTAAAAAACGCCAAAGAAACCACCACTTAGTATTGTGGAACGCTGAATTCAGGTGGAAAAATTATTTACTATCACAGTCAATCATAGAAAGTGGAACGTAATGATTCATCATATTAAACATATATGTAAAACACCATGGTACAAGAAAACAAGGTATGTTTTTTTTAAGCTATTTTAAAGTGTAAAAAATGTCTATCTGCCAAGTGAAAATCTGTAAAAACAAAGATAGTTGCTATAAAAGGAAAATTGGATTTCCATAAAAAAGTCTGATCTATCAAAAGAGAAATCAAGTAGTTTGTACGAAATTAAAATAAAATTGAAAAAAAAACAATATAAATCATAGTTCTTTTTAAAGTGTACAATAGACAGGGCCAAAAAAATCAACTATTTTTTTTTTTGAAAAGTATATCGAAAATATGGTTTGGGGTGACAAAAAAAATTATTGTGAAAGTTTGAGTCCATAATATTAATATTAGGTGGTCTATCATCGCAATTTTAATTTTTTTTTCCTCAGAACTCCCAAACCATTGAGTTTAACAAAATTTACTCGAAAATATTTTTTGAAGAAAATTGAATGCTCTACAAAAAAGGTTAAAGTGAAATTTTCCGTCAGATTAACCGTTTCCTTAAAATCATGCCTTAAAAATTGGTATAGTTTTATATTTTTTATCTTTTAAATTGGAATTTTGTAATTAATGTAAAAATCAGTACCCATAAAAAAACCAATAAATATTCTTATGAAAAATTAAATGCTTTACAAAAAAAGTCTCTCAACATTTTTGGCTAAATTCACTCAATCAAAAGTTATTCAGGGTTAAAATTTCGTTTTGACTTCAAATGTTAAGAGGTTTTTTTTCTGGGTACTGATTTTTACATGAAATAAAAAATTCCAAAGTTAAAAGATCAAAATGTAAAACTATAACAATTTTTAAGGCATGATTTTAACGAAACGGTTCATCTGACAGAAAATTTCGTTTGAACCTTTTTGTAGAGCATTGAAGTTTCTTCCTAAAATATTTTCGAGTCAATTTTGTTAAACTTAATGGTTTGGGAGTTCTGAGGAAAAAAAAAGATTTTTTTGGCCCAGTCTAGTGTACAAGAAATAGGACAAAAATTAAATCTTTATTTTTGCACTGTGCAGGAAATGTGCCAAGACAAGGAAGCTAATGATCTTCAAGGACAGTCCATAACAGAAACTCAAACTGCAGCATGCTGCTGATAATGAAATGGCCCGGGATTGAAACATCCCAAAAGCATTAGAAAACCAGCTTATACCATACAATAATATACTATTTTTCACGAGTTTAGTTTGTTGGCTCCATGGTGGCCAATTTAGGGTTTTTATTTGGCAACTAAACCTAAATTATTTGGGAAAACAATTTTGTAATAAATAAATTAATTATGGTGGCAAAGTGAGACAAAATATACCTTGTTTTTTATACCATGAAAAACATCATCAAAGACATCAATTAATCTACTTACTTCTCTGGCCAAGAGCCACCACAAAAGACCGATGCTGTGCGGAGATTTGTTGTTTCCGGGAATGGAAATGTCAACGAATCTCAAAGGCGAGTCGGTATTGGTCAGAGCGATGACGGGAATGTTTACGTACGAAGCTTCGGTGATGGGCTGGTGATCGAAGGCCGGGTCGGTAACGATCAAAAGCCTGGGCTCGCGGAAAGCCGGCTGAATTTGATTGGTGAACGCACCTAAAATTTTAAATCGGTTACGTGAGAATGCCGACTGGCGACGGCAAGCGAAAGCGGTGCTGGCGTTTTTTAATCAGTCGTAAGATTATAATCAACTGGATCATAGGTTCCTTAGTAATATCATCATGAAAAAAAATTTGTACAATAAGGGGGGAAATGTTTTAAAAATTGTTAAAAATGCAACATTTAATATTGTTTTAATGGGAAAAATCGCAAAAAATATGCTTTGAAAAACACAATAAATATGCTTTTTATTGTCAAAAAGTTTTTTTTAATTTCTAAAAAGCATCCCAAATGTTAAAACTTCAAATCGTCACCATACATTGAAATGTAAGTCGATAATTTTTAAATTACAAAGTGTAAACGTAGCTTTAGTAGAAGGCACAATAGTCTGGGATCGAAGCCACGATGCAGCCAGTTTGATCCGCAGTGTTGCCAAATCGTGCTTGCTACATAAATATTTGACGCGTTTTACTAATTATGGTAATGATTCTTTATTACATATATTTACATATATTTAATAATAGAACAACAACATTTTTAGTGCCTATTGTACTAAGTTAATTCGACAATTAAAAAACATCTTTTTCTAATTTTTAAGAGAAAAAATTTTAAAATGTGGTGCCACAATATTACGTGGATGCATCATACAAATTCCCAGTGCCGTTTATAGATTCCCGTACGGGATTGTATTGTTCATCTTCTACGGGAGGAAGGAAGGCAATCTGTAAATCTTAACGCTTAACCTCACCACAAAAGCCGGAAAGCCGGAATTTGCATGTTGCATCCATATACCTATAACCTATAAGTTATAGGTATTGGGTTGCATCCACGTAATATTGTGGCACTACATTTTAAAAAAATTACTCTTAAAAATTAGAAAAAATGTTTTTTAATTGTCAAATTATCTTAGTACAATAGGCACTAAAAATGTTGTTTTTATATAATTAAATTTATTTAATAAAGAAACATTTCAATACGATAATTTCTAAAACGCGTCAAATATTTATGGAGCAAGCACGATTTGGCAACACTGCGGATCAAACTGGCTGCATCGTGGCTCCGATCCCAGACTCTTGTGCCTTCTACTAAAGCTACGTTTACACTTTGTAATTTAAAAATTATCGACTTTTATTTAAATGTAAAGTTATAAATTTTGTCTTAAAAATGTATCAATTTAAAATTGTTAAAAATAAAAGTCATTGGTTTAAATTTGTGAAGAGTCATTTAAATGATGGTCGATAAATTTTTAATGCAAAAATTACCACTTTAAAATTTAAAACTAACATTTAAATGAATCTTTACAAATTCAAAGCAATAATTTTGAAGAATAAAATATTAAAATTCCATTTTTTTTTTAATTAATATTTTTAAACTTAAACTTTTACAGTTGCATTCTATATTTAAAATATTTTTTGATTATCAATGGTTTTGAGTTTACAAAAATTTGACTTTTTAAACTATTTTGGTAGAAAATGTTTTATATGTGTTTTTATTTTAAATGGCTTGATACTATTTTTAAATACTAAAAAATTTAACTTTACCAAATTAATCTCAATAATTTTATAAAATATTTATTTAAGTTAACAAAATGCCACCCAAATAAACTATACTTGGGAAATTATTTTTATTAAAAAATTATGGTTGGAAATTTTTGCAAAAATTTATAGAAAATAGTATTGTTTAATACAGAAGTGAACTGTTGGTTAGTAAATTTTGTCTTTCAATACATGATAGTTGAAAATTTTATAAATTTATAAATGTAAACCTAAAATTTTTAGTTGGGAAAATTTTAAACCAATAAAATTTTAAATTAAAAAATTATTTAATAGATGTTAAAACGGGCGTGCCATATTAAACTAACTAAAAATTAACACTTAACGCTAGAGGCGCTACAAGACAAGAAACCGGTGAAATGAACCACTCCCGCATTTTTTGTACTTTGTTAGTTCTATAAAAAGCTCAAAAACTAATTATCAGGTTTTTTTTTTAAATTTTTGTTACCCAAAACAAATTGCTTGAAATATCCAAAAATTGATATTTTTTAACATCAAAATAGAGCCAAAACATGACATTTACATATTTTTGAATGTATTTGGTATGTACTATCATCCACATTATATAAATAATATATAGTATTATTTATATGCTACACATTAAAAAATCCCTCTTTGACATTTGAATAAGCGTTGCACTAGAAAAATTGAGGTTATGTATCTGTCAGTTAGCTCTAATTTCTTCTTAAACTGTTCAATAAATAGCTTTTAAATTAAGCTAAAGGTCATTTCTCTGAACACAGAATTGTGATCAGAATTAAGAAGAAGAAGAACTGTTCAATATGCTCAAAATAACCACAAATAACATTTTTGACGACTTTAAACCGCAAATAAAAAAAAGGTGAAGCCCCAGCATGCGTAAACTGTTATATAGACTCACCAGGAGTGAATCTTCCAGCAATGGGAGTGGCTCCGGTGTAGGCGGCAAATTTCAGCACAGCCCTTTGCCCGTAAGGCCTGGAGCTGATGACGAAAACTTCGGCGGGGTGCTCGATGGCCGCGATGGCCCTGGCGGCCAGGAGAAGCTTCTCCCAAGTCCTACGTAGGTTAATAATGTGAACACCGTCACTACGGCGCTTGTAAACGTACTGTTCCATTTGGAAGTTTACGTTGGCGGTACCTAGGTGCGTGCCGGCGGCCAGCATCTTGGTGACATCGTCCTCTTTGAGGGACAACACCTCTAATCCTCCCGACATCTTTACGTTTTTGAGTGAGTTACGAGTAACCTAAAAAGAACAACATTTTAAGTATTTAAGCCAAAAAAAACATTAATAATAAAATAAAACACCTCATTTCACTGCACTCCAAACAATAGGCATTTTAAGTCACCAAAAAACAATGTTTACTTCGCAATACCACCAAAACATGCCGTTTTAAGTCATGTCAACTTGCAACAAAATTATCACAAAAACTACGAAACCCCCAAAAAAACAAATAACACAAATTAAATCTACAACAATCCAGCTTCATTTTGATGCATAAAAACCCCAATTACGTTAAACGATTACCAAAATAATTAAAGATTAAAATCGCAAACTTACGTGAGAAGATGCCACAGGCAGACTTTCAATGAAAAAGAGATTTTTTGGCGCGCCAAGTTGCCGACCTGAATTCACCGATCACGTGACCACAATTACCACCGCCATCTACCGTTCATTCAACTAATCTTGAAGAGTAACCTGTATTACCAGCTAAAATATAACCAATAAAATTGTTGTTTTTATGCAAAAAAATAATGGAAATGTATGTAAAACGCACACTTTTTCACATTAATTAACTCTACTTTTCAGTGTAAATAGTAATTGTGCTGCTCTGAGCAACTATGAAGTTATGGTCCATTTACAAAAACTCAAAGATGGGAAAACGAAAAATAAAGGACAATTGGCAACAATTACATACGAAACCTTACAATATTTAGAAAATACGCCGTGTAATTTTCAAACGCCTGAAAACATCGAGGAATGTTTAAAAGCCTTGGACGCATATGGTTTGAGTAAAACTGAAAAATTGATGATGATTAATACACCACCGACAACCGCGCTTGAAATACAACTTGTGAGTTATGTTTTTACATTATTTAACATATTTTATTCATCAATAACTCCCTAGATGATAGAAGAAAGTGAAGAACGTCTCTCGGAAGAACAAGTCGAAGAAATACTACAATTACTCACACAGCATTTCCCGCACCTACTTAAAGAACAAAATGAGGCTGAAGAAAGATCGTTTGACTCATAAATAAACCATTTTTTACCATTCATTCGTTTTATTTTCTCAAAAAACACGAAAATTCAAAAAGTTGTATTGCAGAAATCTGCATTGCCGATAATGTTTAAATTTGAATTTTCACCTGTCAAATTTGATTACAATTACTCACACAGCATTTCCCGCACCTACTTAAAGAACAAAATGAGGCTGAAGAGAGATCGTTTGACTCATAAATAAACCATTTTTTACCATTTATTCGTTTTATTTTCTCAAAAAACACGAAAATTCAAAAAGTTGCATTGCAGAAATCTGCATTGCCGATAATGTTTAAATTTGAATTTTCACCTGTCAAATTTGATTTTCAGTTTTGTCGAGATTTTTATTATGAATAATTGTACGAATTTAAACCCGGTGGATTTTATTCCGCCCTTGTATTCGTGCAAATATAACAACAATTCTGGGCCGCCAGATAACCAAGAAAATCGCGAAAATTGTCCGAGGCATAGACCAACAAAATGTAAGTTTATAAAATTTGAATTATGTGATGGTAAATTTGGGTTTTTAGGCCTTTTGGTGTATTTAATGAACATTACGCTGTGTCTGGTGTTTTTCGTCGTGATTATATATGGTGATTATATAAAATTGGGAATTATATTCGTTAATTTATGATTTTTTAGCGTATAATCAGTCTTGTAACTTGTATTACTCTGCTACAAGCCCTATTTACAGTGATGATGAAGTTTGCATTGAGGGTTGCAACAAAAGACATCTAAATGAATATATTATTAAAAATAACAACAAAGATATTAGCAGTAACAATAATAGTAATAATTTTGAAAAGGAAATAAGGGAATTAAAAGAACAAATACAATATTTATTGGATTTTAAGTAAAGTGTTTTTAATTTAAATAAATTGATGTTGTAATAGTGTTTTTAAGGGATAACATTGAAGCTAAATTATTGAATGGGGAGACACGTGTATCTCTTGTAGAAGTTGAAAACAAAATTAATGGAGCCCTTCGTACATATGAAGCAGATGGGATAGGAGCTTTTGGTGAGTTTTGAAGCAGTTTTTTTATATTTTGATGAGTTTATTTATTCAAAAAATACACAGAATTGGCACGCCGTTTTAACATTTATTAAACAATTTTTTTAATTTAAAATTTTATTGGTTTAAAATTTTCCTAACCAAAAATTTTAGGTTTACATTTATAAATTTATAATATTTTCAACTATCATGTACTGAAAGACAAAATTTACTAACCAACAGTTCACTTCTGTATTAAGCAATAGGTATTATTTTCTATCAATTTTTGCAAAAATTTCTAACTATCATTTTTTAATAAATATAATTTCCCAAATATATTTTATTTGGGTGGCATTTTGTTAACTTAAATAAATATTTTATAAAATTATTGAGATTAATTTGGTAAAGTTAAATTTTTTAGTATTTAAAAATAGTATCAAGCCATTTGAAATAAAAACACATAGGATAGCGTGTTCTGTGTGGGCCCACACAGAACACGCTATCCAATGGATATCCAATGGCTATCCCAATGTCCATATAACATCCATGCCTTTTACGATATCCCTTGGATATCCAATGGATATCCATACTAGATGTTCAAAAAAAACAAAAACACTAAAAATATTTTTTTCTTTTTTAAAATAGCCCCTTATAGGATAAATTTATGTAATGATTAATAAATATGATTTAAATCGTTATTAACCCAATTTCAACAAAGTATCTCTAATATATATCCAATGGATAACTAATGTATGTCCAAAGTATATCCACTGTACATCTAATGTATATCCACTGGATATCCACTGGATATTCAATGGATATCCATACTGGATGTTAAAAAAAAAACAAAAACATTAAAAATATTTTTTTCTTTTTTAAAATAGCCCCTTATAGGATAAATTTATGTAATGATTAATAAATATGATTTAAATCGTTATTAACCCAATTTCAACAAAGTATCTCTAATATATATCCAATGGATAACTAATGTATGTCCAAAGTATATCCACTGTACATCTAATGTATATCCACTGGATATCCGGTGGATAACTGATATGGATATCTTGTATATATACTTGTATGTATACATGTGGGATTTTGTGATGGTTTAAACTAGCATATGTAAAAAAAACGACTTTACGTTAAATTGATTTTTTGCCAAGAGCTACGAAATTTTTAATTTTGAAATGTTCACTTTACCCAGATAATAATATTTATATATTAATAATATTATTTCTGTTAATAATATGACTATGACAGTCTGCAATACAATAAAAAATTACTTAAAAAAGTCCTTTTTGTTTATTATTGTATTTCATATATGTACTACGCACGCGCTGAATTTGAGAATCTTCAGTGTTGCCGGTTATAAGCAAAATAACTAAACGAAATATATTTCCGTACTTTATTAAGTTTTAATAAATAAATTAAATAAATTTAAAATAATTATTCACCACATTTATGTCAAATAGGTATACTAGGTATACTAATTAATTAAGTATTAAAGATTTAATAATATAACCGCCATTTTGATGAGCTTTCTGAAATTATTTAAACGTCTGACAACACTGCCGGCAAAAACAGAAGATAAATGTCACCATATTACCTTGCCGCTGCATCTCGCCGCTGTCCAGGTCGCCCAACTAGTATATAGGTGGGCGGTTGCTTGGCTTGAAGCGTGTCTCTCGGCACCAACTGCCTGACACTGATGAGACCCAACAGGTCGAAACAGTCTGTCTGTCAGTGTTGGTGGGCATGGTACATTAGTCATTGTGCCATGTCAACCCGAGAGATGCGTTTCGGGCCAGGCACGGTGGAGAGATGTGTCGGCTTGTGTAATATTTGTCATTTTGGTTGCCTAACTACTGGCGTAGTAGTAAAACCTTGGCAATTTTTAACAAATGGGCTGATGGATTGGCCAAATTTTGGGGATCATAAGGAGACAGGTGAAATAGGCCCTAAATGATTAGGCTGATAAAAAGGCAAATGACAGCTGGAGGAGTGATGGCAAGCACTTCTTTAGTTATATGTAGTTTTCTGTTCTATTTTATGTTTTCATAAAAATAAATATTTACCCAACCCAACCCAATGTTATTTATTGAAAAGTAAATATCCATTGATTCACCATATCCAATACAGATGACAACCATATTGCATACAATACTATATCCACTGGGTATCCATTGGATATCCACACCATGTCCAGGAGGGTCGGACATTTATATATCCAATGGTTATCCATTGGATATCCATACAATCTCCATATTGAATACAGATTACAACCTTATTGCATACAATACTATATCCACTGGGTATCCATTGGATATCCACACTATGTCCAGGAGGGTCGGACATTTATATATCCAATGGTTATCCATTGGATATCCCGGATATCCTATGTATATCCTGGATATCCATAAAAGAAATCCATTGGATATCCATTGGATGTAATTGTTCCGTGTGGGTAGTAGGTACAATATAAATTAAATTAAATTTATGTAATAAAGAAACATTTCATTACGATAATTAGTAAAACGCGAGAATTTTTGTATTAAAATCATTTAAATGACTCTTTAAAAATTTAAACCAATAATTTTGTAGAATAAAATATTACAACCAAAACTTTTAAAACTCAATATTTTTAAACATAATTTTTACTGTTGCATTTTATATTTAAAATATTTTTTGACTATCAATTGTATTGAGTTTAAATAAATTTAACTTTATAAATTTCTGTTAAAACATAATTTAAGTGCTAAACTTCAATCTTTAAACTTTTATCCAATAAATGCTAAAACGGCGTGCCATAGATTCAGCAGGTTAAGAAAAATTTATCATTGTATTATATTTAGATTACGCTTCTAAAGAAGCCGGTGGAGCAATAATATCAATTCCAGAAACGGAACCTTTACCCATAAACCAATCCATATCCCTATTTTACCTGTTTTCCCGCCAATTGGTATCCCAACCGGATAATATCCTGGAAAAATCAAACACTCCAGGGAATTGCTTTGCTTTCTGTGGATCCAGCGGAAGAATCCGCATAAAATTGTCGAAAAAAGTGAAAATCGTGGCTGTCACTCTGGACCACGCCCCCTTCGCGCTATTGGATGATTTATCCCACGCACCCCGCGATTTCGCTGTATACGTAAGTAGATCGAGGTGTCTCCCTGATAGCAAAATTTGATTCTAATAATCTTCTAAGAAGATATGACCCGGAATAATGGAATATTCTTAGAACCTTCCCTTATTGCTAAGAATGTTCTTAGGGACTTTTAAAACATTCAATAGATACCCTTTTAATGATGCAATTAGATTCTTAAGGTTTTAAGAAGCTTCTAATTAGAAGCTTCTAATTAGAAGCTTCTTAAAACCTTCCTAAAAAGCATTCTAAGAACATTTTAAGAATACGTTTTTGGAATGTTCTTAGAAGGTTTCTTATGGAGCTTCTAGGAAGCTTTTGAGAATATTCCCAAATATGTCAGATACCCACGTTCTAATATGTTGGATTCTACATTCGTAAAATTCTTCAGGAGGCGACAAATACGCCTCACTGTCATAATATGACAGTGAAATGTATTTGTCGTCCCCTTAAAATGCGACATATTAATATAAATTTATTTAAAAATATTAAATAAACAATTTGACCTCTAAACCATAAGTTGTATGACATTATTTCATAAAAAGTAAAATTGGAAAACTTTGTGAGATAAGTCAGATTAGATTGAAGTTGAAGATAGTTAGGATTATTATACATAAAAATGTTAATTCAGATATAAAAAATCGGTATACAAATTAATAAATATTTATTTTTAACAAAAAATAAAGTATAAAAAGCCAAATATTTCCTTATAAAATAATTCTTCATAAAAGAAAAAACCAAATAGTTCTTCATAAAAAAAAATATTTTTCATTGTAGGTATTTAAGTTGGATAGAAGATTTTATGTAAAAGCCGGATAATTTAGATACCTATAGTAAAAGTATTTTTGTTATAGAATATTGTTTTAATTTGACAAATAACTATAAAAAAATATTTTGGGTTGTGTTTTTTACTTAGTATTTAATACTAAGTATAGGTACCTTTATACGTAGATTATGGTATATTTTACTATTATATAGGTACCTAACTGAACTGAATATGCTTAATAGAATGTTCCAGGAATATTCCTAAATGAACTTTCTATAGCAATTACTTTCTCAACATTCTAAGCATAGGTATGTTTAGAGTGGATTAATTTTAACACTAAACTTTGCACCTTCTAAGAACCTGCCTATAGGCCTGTGAGAACATTCTTAGGATTAAGCTATATTTCTTCTAAGCATGTTCTTTAGAAGAAATATAGCATGATCCTAAGAATATTCCCACTGGAAGGTTTAAAAAACATTCTTAGAATAAATTGTGCTATCAGGGCTGCGTGAAAGGTCGTCTCGTGACGTCACGTTGTGCTTTTCAGGGTTTAAAGCTCGAAAATTCCGACGCGCGTAGTTCTTTGGGAAAGTTTCAGTACAAATTAGAGGGGATGCACGTTCAAACTTTTGTCGTTAATCCCGATTTGATTTTTCCGTACGAATTTGTCGAGTTAGAAATTCTTAATAATCACGGGAATGAGAATCTGACTTGTGTTTATAGATTTAGGGTGCACAATAGGTTGCCTAAGTGAAATGTGTTTAAATAAATGTTTTTGAATATATAAGTTGTTTTTTTTTCAAAAAAATATTTTTTAGGGTCTTTCGAGTGTAGACGACGATGACCCAGTGCTATTAGGAACATTTGAGTACAAAATAAACGAAGATCATATTCAAACCTTTTTGATAGATCCAGTTCAGATAAGTTCATTCGAATACATCGAATTGCGTATAAAAAATAATCAAGGGAATGAACACTACACTTGTTTGTACAGATTTAGAGTGCACGCTTCAAGGTTACCAATAAAAAATTGAAAAACTAATAAAAAACATTGTTTTTTTTAGTTTATATTTTCAAAATAACTTCTACTATACACAGGAGCATAATTTAATCTTTGGGGATCGTAGTTTTTGTTGTGATTATTGTATTGAGGGTAATTGTAATTTTTCCCATAATCAAAACTGTTTCTGTTGTAATCATAGATATTTTCATAACCATATTCGCCATAATTATTACCAATATAACCAATTTGCTTATAATCGTCATCCGAATTGATAAACCAAATTAAAAATAACACAGACCCAGCAACTAACCCTAAGACTAACGCTGGCACCAAGAAAGTCTTCAAAAACTTATTTTTCTTCAAAGCGTTCATAAAGTAAGTTAATGCGTCGATTAATTTGAGGGCTATCATGGGTAAGTATCCGAAAATACCCAAATTTTTGAATACAGCCAAGTTGGACCCGTAGTTAGACCCATACCCATATTCATCAGTGCTGAGTTCTTCGAAAGTGAACCCAAATATCTTCTTTAGAACCTGGGGAAGTGCTATGAGCAACTTATCGGTTAATTTAAGGAGGATGTCCGTGAATAAGTCTGTTTTTTTCTCAAACACTCCAGTTTTAGTCTTATGGTCATCATGGGGGATATATGGCATGGGTAAAATATTATTGTAGGAACTCTGATAGAGCGAACTTGAGCGATCTTTTGAGCCAGTCGCTCCCGAACGAACTTCTAAAAACAGTTTATTGAAATTATTATATTCAAAGTGTATATGGCATACCTAACTGTTTTTTCAACACGTTTAAGCGATTTTGAATGTCTTCGACATTACGTGGACTGTTCGATTCATCGTTAGATACATTTTGGGGTCGTTCTTGTAATATTTGGTCTAAAAAAAACTAAGTTATTTTTGGAGTTGGTATATTTAGTGGTTTTTACTTAGGTACAAAGCTGCGGTATTTAAAATATTGTCGCTACTATTTATTTCGTTTTGTGTGGATCTTCTTCTGCGATATTTTGGTTCGGGTTTGCTTGAAGGAGGGGCGTACGCGTTGGGGTCATAACTTGGTGCTACAGGGGCTGCATAGCTAGAAAAATGTATATTAATTTTTTTGCAATGTTAATTTGGAAAACCTCACCTATTATCATTATCATTCACGACATTCTTCAAATCAGCAATTTGCTTCTCCAAATGATACACCGTCTGCTTGTCCTCTGGTTTTTGCGTATACTCCGGCCGATTCAAATCGTTTATAACATTCTGAAGGCTGTAAATCTGACTCTTCAAGTCCTCTACGTTGTCTCCTTTGTAGTCGGCTGCTGTAGCTGCTGTATTTTGATAGTATTTACCCTGGTTTGTAGTATAAGTCGAGTCTGCAGCAGTATAAGATCCTCCAGGACCTTTATCGTATTGGTTCTTTGGGCGCAGAAAAAAATCACTCGGCTTTCCTCCATAAGCGTTCACCGGGGATGCGGGTTTGGGGTAGTAAGCACCACCATATGGTTTTTCATAAGGAGAAGCACCTGGTGGAACTCCACCATAACCTGGACCGTAAGCGGGAGCATTGGGAGTGTATCCAGGTGCCGGTCCGGGCCCATAACCTCCCATATAAGCATTTGGTGCCGCGTAACCTCCATAGTTGTAACCTGCAGGTCCATAGAAGCCTGGTAGAGGCACGGGGAAGGCATTTGGTGGTATTCGTCCTCCATAGGTATCTGAAGAATAGTGAGAGTTATAATCTTCCACGGGTACTATCCTACATGTATGGCTGGGTACTAATAACTCTGTAAAGGGTTTATCAGTTATAATCGATGGTATGCGAAGTATATTTACCTTTGGAGAATGTGTTGGCTGCTGTTGGTTTGGATTGACCTTGGTTCGCTATGAGATTGCTCAGCATTGCTTGAAACCTCGCCTCGTCGTCTTGTCTAAAATCGTCATCTCTAGGTTTTAATTTGTTTATAGCATCTTGCAGTTCTTTAAGTCTTCCATCGATATCGTCGCTTTTACTTTGAGGACTCGATTTGCTTTGCGCGGCTTTTAGAGCTCTTGCAATCTGATTCAGTCTATCTTCCTGCTCGCGTCTTTGGTTGATGGTATCCTGAAGCTCCCTGAAATCGACGTTGAGGCTTTTAGACTCTTGTGGTGGGGTTAGCGCGTTCAGGACCCTGAGGATTTCATCGTTCGTCGGTTGCGTTCTTTTCGGTTCGTTTAGGGTGTCCAGAATCTTGGCTAGGTCTGATAATTCGCTGGCTCTGGATCTGTGGGGTTCTTCTGTTGCTCCTCTGGATTGGGTGACGTTTTTTGCTTGGTCCAAATGATTTTTTACCGAGGGGTGAGCAAGAAAGTTGAACTGAGTGCCCAAGATGGTATCGTTCTGTTTGTCTTGAGTTTTGGACATGTTTTTCACCAATTTAAACAAGTTACCTATGTCATTTTTCTGGTGCATCAACTCAACCTCCAAGCTGTTCTCCTTCATTTGTTCCATCTTCAGCATCCTCCTGGTTTCATTCAACTGTCTAACAGTCTCGCATAGTTGATTCTTCAGGTGTTCCAACTCTTTATGTGTCGGTCTTTCAACTTTTTGGACATCCTCATCCAAAGGAATTTCGTTTTGTTTTGAATTGCTTTGCTCCAACTCCTTTTTATTCAACTGTCGCAAGCCTTTAATCAACGTAACCTTGGTTTCGTTCTTCAGAAATTTGTTGGGCTTGTTGCTATCTTCGTTGAGGATGTGCAGGATGTCTCGTTGATCTCTCAACAACACCACAAGCTCGTTCAACTTTTTCACCTCCCTATTCAAATCTTCGATGTGTTTTTTTTCCAGGCGTAGCTCTTCAACGGTCTTTGGAGTGCAATTTTCCGCCTGTCTACGTACTCGCCTGCTTCTTTTCTTGCTCTTTGTTGTGGTGGTTTCGATATCGTCAGGTTTAACCAAAAAATTGTTTGGTTTTATCGTCGATGGTTCTAGAGTGCTGATTTCTTCAGTTGTGGTTTCTTCAGTTGTGGTTTCTTTAGTTGTGCTTTCATTTGTTTCAGTGGATTCAGAGCTGTCTTTGGTGCCGTTGAACAAAAATTGCTTGAGGACGTCTACGACGAAATTCTCCAGATTGACCCCGACGTTGTCCAAATCGTTCCGCAAAATGTCGAAGTTTTCTTTTTTTATCGGCAAATCTGCGGAATCTTTGAAGATCGTGTTGTCGTCTTCGTGTTTGAGAACTTTAGCACAGCAACTCACAATGACGCATGCAAATATAATTTTGCGAGGAAACATTTTAACGAGCGTACGCAGTCATTCAAAAAACAACTAATAAATAAATATAATTTTAATTTTATTAAATATTTGCCGGGTTCAAGGAATTCCAATGATATATTCAGCAGTTTATTTGCGTGGTAAGGCAGTTTGTAACTTTAATTGAATGTCTAAAAGTTTGAATAACGAGAATTGTTTATAATTTTGTAAAGTAATAAGTTTATAAGACATTATATACAGGGTGTTTCACATTTTTATATTCTGAGTAAACCGTTTTGGTTAACCGTAAAAAATACTTTAAAGTTGAAATATTTTTTTTGTTCAATCTCTTTATTCGAGATTTAGGCGCGCATTGCCACGTTGTCGAACCTCCACCGCGGACTGTATCAAACAATAACAAACCCTTCTGTAGGGTAGTGTACCGAAATTTTGTCTCTATAAATTTTGAGGTCGCTGTAGGCGCATGCGTCGGCCATATTGACTGTGTAACAGTCTCCACCATTGTATCAGCTTCGAAGTTTAACCCTTAGATAGCGCTGGGGGTGAATCGCGACGTTGCCGGATTTACGAAAAATTCAAGATAAGGGGATTTTGTTTTTGAGGGTTTACGATGATTTATTTGATTGGAATACGTTAAAAACACTTTATCAGTAAGATTTTATTGTTACGTAAGTTCTCGTGGTGATTTATCGGAAGGAATTGTAAGAAAATACGAAAATCGCATTTTTTAACAGGTTCAAATATACATTTTGGAGTTGGAGGATCGTTTGGCAACATGGGGAAAATTGGACGTCTGCGTCGTGAACAACAAGATTTTACCTCCCCTTAATGTTTCGATTCCGTAAATTTCAAATTTTTATGTTCTTGGTGAATTTACTTGTATTATATATTACTTGTATTAATTTCCAAATTTAACTTTATTTTGTTGTCACTTCTATTAAATTTTTATGTTTTTGGTGAAATGTTTGTAAATTTTCTATTTTTGACATAAATATAAAAAAAAAATTTTTGTTTAAATTTGTAAAAATACAATATTTACTTGTATTAATTCCTAATTTTACTTTATTTTGTTGTCACTTCTATTAAATTTTTATGTTTTTGAAAATTTTGAAATTTGTGAAATTTTTGTAAATTTTCTATTTTTGACATAAATATAAAAATTTGTTTGGGTTTAAATTTGTGAAAATACAAATTTTACTTGTTTTAATATCCAAATTTAACTTTATTTTGTTGTCTATATATTAAATTTTATGTTTTTGGTGAAATTTTTGTAAATTTTCTATTTTTGCCATAAATATAAAAAAAAATTGTGTTTTGGTTTAAATTTGTGAAAATACAAAATTTACTTGTTTTAATTTCCAAATTTAACTTTATTTGGTTGTCACTTATATTAAATTTCCATGTTTTTGGTGAAATTTTCGTAAATTTTCTAATTTAGACTTAAATCAAAGATTAAATATACTCTTTAATATAGTATAGTATATTTAATCTTTGCTTAAATATCAAAATTTGTTTTGGTTTAAATTTGTGAATATACAAAATTTACTTGTTTTATTATCCAAATTTAACTTTATTTTTGATTATTTTGTTGTCACTCATATTACATTTTAATGTTTTTGGTGAAATGTTTGTAAATTTTCTATTTTTGACATAAATATAAAAAAAATTGTGTTTTGATTTAAATTTGTGAAAATACAAATTTTACTTGTTTTAATATCCAAATTTTATTTTATTTTTGATGATTTTGTTGTTACTTATAATAAATTTTAATGTTTTTG